GTCCGAGAATCTAGTTTTTTTTCCAATCCGAAAGACGGTTATCTAAAGCTCAGAAAATTCATAATACAAATAACATGTTAATTTGTAAAACGTAATGCAAACACAGCAGAGGTTCACCCAGAGGAAAAAGAAAAGAGAAAGTAGTGCAGTTCAGTCACTCTACAGCATAATCTCCCTATTGAAAATCCAACTGAACTTCACAGCTTGATGCCCCATTTTCCTAGCCCTCTCCTCTGTGCGTTCTTCTAATTTCCTAATCCTAGGCGCCAACTTACAAACTCCTGCGCTTCCTTTCCTTCGTCCGTCAACCCTTCTAGTTTCTCCAATCCCCACGCTCATTCAGCGCCTCCACAATATCTGCATAATCCTCCGCCGTGTATACTCCTATCCGCTGTGCCACGGCCGAGAAATGATCGAACAACCGCGGGTCTTCGCCGTCGAATATCAAGTGAGCTGGCATCGTTATCCTTTTATTCATCATATCCGAAACTGCTAGCATGGCTCCCGTCGGGTCGATCTCAAGTAGCTTTCCAACTATCCATGAGTAGGCCAGTTTGTGGCGTTTCTCGTCCGCCGCAATGGTACCGCATATGCGTGCCAGGACGGGGTCGCCTCCTTCCTTGGCTAAACGGGCCGTGTTGCCTTGGGATAAGAAGGTGGCTCGCTCTTGGAATGATGTATATACGAAGCCCAAGTACGGGTTGTTTTCGGTTCCAGGGTCCCGTCAAAAAATCCCAGGCTATGTTAAATCAATGAAACAGTGATGAAACTTACCATTCCAGCTCCGATCAAATTCGGATTAAATTGAGAATTAATTTTTTTAAAATATATATTTGTAAAAGAAATGAAACGGTGATAAAAATCATACCATTCCAGCTCCGATCAGATACTGGACAGTCATCTCCATCATAAACATATCAAGTACTCTCCCCGTCAAATACAGATAATTCTTCAACAGATCGCCATGCCGATTCTCCTCCGCCGTCTAAGCCCGAGTCTAAACAGCCCACGGGCTACAGCTAGCCCCCGTCTCATCCCTCACTCCATCCAGCGTATTGATCATCGTCTGATACGTCGGCGACGCTACCTCCGTTATCATATCTCCTACCAACACCACGAAATATTCATTAGGCAGCTCCGCCGTGTGTTCTCTCGGGGGCTTCACTTCGTCGTTGAACTCTTCCGATGGCAATGACGGATCAGGCAAAAATGTCTGCGGTTGCCAACAATCTTTGACCGGTTTAAGTAACGGCAATACATTTGTGGTGGCCCACTTTCCATTGATTTGAACACTTCTTGCTTCTCGGGGGTGCATCGAGCAAGTCTTTTGATGTCTCGGAGGAGACGCCGTAACGGCCGCGGAGATTGAGGAGAATCTGGCGGTTAAAGTCGTTGGAGGGAGGCGGTGGACACGTGACTTCCATGGGAGACATTTGGTAGGAAGGCAATGACTGACTTGCATGGTGGTAATCGAGTTTAAAATTTCGGGGATCAGCCGCTGATGTTTTCAAATGCAATGGTGTAAGATATTTATATGTACAAAAAAGTAAATGTTTGACCACCTTCTTTACTTTAATTACAAATGGTGCCACTTAAGATTTTATTTTTACCAACTTGTTGATTTAAAAAAAAAAAGTAAATTTGTGCAGCTGGTTTTTACAGGAGTGGATGACCAACTGTAATTTTCCTTTTTTCTGTAAATTTTATAGGAGCAGTTAATTACTTGTGCTGTTGTGATATTTATATAATGCACTAATATTTATTTTCATTTATTAGAACTTTCAGATTTTATAAAAAAGTACAAGTATTTTTATATTAATTCTGAAATGTTATTTCACTATATTATATCTGAACATTTTTCTTTTTAATGAATTATGTTAACGAAAACTTTAAATTTTACACTTTATAATCAAAATTGAATTCGAGGAATAAAGAGTAAATATTATTTTTATTTTTAAAACGGAGAAAATAGTGCGAAATAATTAAAACAAACAGGCAAAGGGTTTAAAAAAAAGGAAAGGTGTTGAAATGGGAAACAATGGGAGCGGAAAGGAAATGATTGATTATATGGGATTTAATAATAAAAACAAAATAATTTACAGCACAGTTTGGTTTTAAGGGTCTAAGATTATTATTATTATTAAGTACTTGATTTTTTAATTTTATTTTAATGAATTATTCTGGCACACTTGTTTATAAATTTAGGATACGTTTGTTTACTGCTAAATGAAATCATTCAACGCTGAATGCTAAATCGTTCAACATTCAACGTGTTTGATTCTTATCTGTAAATGAAGACTATGTTGAATGAAACATCAAACCACTACTAAATGATTCAGCATTGAAGTACATTCTGAATCATTAAGAACCCGATATTTTACCATAATACCTATTTTTTCACATGTTGTCTTATTAAACAATCATATCTTATAATATAATAAATCATTATGAAGGTAAAAATTAAAATATTCATAATTTAGATTGTACATTCAGAACCATTATCAAACAACATATTACATTTAAAGTCAATTCATACATAGTCTTTAAATAATTTAGGTTATTGAATCATTCAGTGCTTAATCATTTTATTTTATCAAACAGCCCCTTAAATTTTAGTTGTACTTATATAAATTTTATTTTTAATTTATATCCAACTGAACTCCAACATTTAATTCACAAGTAAAGATTTTTTATTTTACTCATTCTTAACAAAACCCAAGTCACTTTTTTCCTCATTTTCTCCCCTTCTTTTTTTCTTCTTATTTACAATTTGTGTTAATTTTATTAATTAATCTAACTTTTTATTCTTTAATTTTGTTTAACCGGCGGTGACATTAATTTTGATATTAGTTGACATCCGTCGTTTATCTTTTTTTTTTAATTTTTTAATAAGAATAATTATTTTCGTTTATCTTTTTTCTCATGATTGGATTTGACATCGTCACGACTAATCAATATGATGTTTATTTGTTATAATGATGATCTTCCCTGTTTTGGACCATCGGATTGATTTGGATACGCGTTTTGCATTTGTGTATAGTTTTTTTCATGTTGCTTGACTTTGATTTACGATTTGTCGATGACCTTTAGTAGCTTCATCTCTTTTGTGGTTCGTTTGCCGATGCAGTTATTTTTATTCGTATCTTTATTTTGTTCGAGCTTTTTGGTTAAGTTTTCATTATTTGGTCATTGATTGATTTAGGTGACTAGTTTTTATGTCAATGGTTATAGGAAAATATCCTAATTATAATTTTGTTTATATTTACATTATAATTGGAAATCTTCATTGTAATTTTGATTTTTCTATTTTTAATAAAATTAGTGACTTTCTATTAAAAAATTAATAAGTAAAAAATTTTACTTTTAAAAAAATAAATCACCATTTTTAATATATGACTTTCAAATCATCATTTTTGAATATATGACTTTCAAGGTTGTTTGGTTTGCTAAAAAAATATCATTACTACGGGTAATAATCTTTCTCAGAATTGCATTCCCATGTTTGGTTTATGAAAATGATTATTAACAAGATTATCATCTTTTGGTTAAAATGGTGAGAATGTCGTCATCTCCAAATTCTTAGATATTAGACAAATCTCACCACTTTGGACAAAAATACTTCTAGGCTAATGAATTCTTTCTCTAATGATCTTTCTCAATTCTTTTTTTACTCTACTCAAAATTATAAATTTGATAATAATATACAAAGAGCTTAATTTAGTAAAATATTAATAAATATGAGTATTTAAAATTATTTTAAATTTTAATATTTAATATATTAATTATTTATAATTTTATGAGGTGAAAAGTATTATTATTATACAAATATAATTATTTAAAATAATATCTAACTTTAAGTTGTTAAAAAATAGACCTTATACATTGAAAAATAATATCTTTGTCCATTCGAGACCATAATATTATTTTTTTATATTATATTATATTTTATATAAATAAATATTATACTTATGAAAATTGTTTACTTATGAAAATTGTTTAAAAATTAAGTATAATATACTAATTATATATTAAATGTATTTTTTTTCAAAAGTTAGAAGTATAATGATTAAAATATTTCTATGAATTTTCATTCAAATATTTATAATTTAATATTAAATTTTAATTTTTTAAGAAAAACATATATCACAAGGATAATTTAGTAAAATATGCATTCAAATAATGTTATATTTCTCCAACCAAACAATATAATTTTACATTCATGCTAAACAAACCAAATAAGGTAATATAACATTCTCATAGTAATGTTACTTTCAAGTAATGTTATTCCCAAAGATAATTTTACATTCCGTTAACCAAACGATTATCTAGATCTTTATTCAGTTATAAAAAAAATATGGAACATTTATGTTTAATCTCACATCACCTTATATTATTACCAATAATAATTTATAAACTAAACCAAATTAATTTTTAAATATTTACATGAACCAAGTGATCTCAGTGGTTAAAAAGATAATTTTTTATTTTAGATGTCTCGGGCTCGAGTACTAAAACATATTCTACCACTTATAATAACCCTATATTAATAAAAAAAATTAAATATTTAATTACAATTTTATTGAATTTGAAGTATTTGCAGCATTAAATAATAATAATAATAATAATAACTCTACTGATTTAAAATGTCTGAACACCAACCCAAATAAAATATTAAAATCATTTTCCTAAAAACTATTATAGTTTTTCTTTCCCCGACTTTTTGGGGTAAAAGTTGGTGGAATTCGGAATCACGAGATCCACTGAATACCACTTTTAAAGGATTGTTATATAAACCATCATAGCTAAAGCTAAGTCTCGGATTCAAAATTGAAGTGTTTAAGGATCAAAGTCTCCCGTCAAAGATCATTGCAAAGCCAATTGCACTTTGCGATAACGAAATTGGAGTGGATCAAACAACCAACCAAGAAATCCATATAAAAAAAGCGAAGAATAGCTGAGCGTTTAAGAAAAATTATTGAAAATTCACACAGGCACGCGTATATCCAAATAACCATTGGATGGAACTCAATAATTTTCTTTAACACTTTTTAAACTGCTGATTATATGATATGCACAGGAAAAATGTTGGAAAATCTTGGTTAAGAGAGAGAAACCTTCTTGATGGCAGGGGGTGATGGTGTAGCGATTGAATTATCTGTCCAATTTTTATCACCCCAATGCCACAACATACTTTCCCAGAAGCAGAATTCTTCAAAACATGTCTTTAAACGCTCGTCTTTTATCTTAATTTTCCAATGACCGTCAGTGTAATTACCTTTCTCGGCCTGCCTCCGATCCCACTCCAGCTGTGCCTTCTGCTTCGACCGAAGGAGACAGTACTTGTGTAAGTTTTGTGGCATCGCATCGTGTACCTTCCACCATGTCTTGTGAGCAACATCACTAGCAAACTCCTGCAGAATATCAACATTCCAGTTGCAATCGTAGTCCCGGAAGCATAGCCATGGTTTATTTCCCAGATAATGGATGACATAAAGGATTGGAGGATTGGTTCCAAAGAGGCGAGTCTTCATCTGTTTCTTCTCCTCCTCATCACCTTCCCAAAAGTGCTTCAGGAAGTTCATGTGTTTTGGAATCCGATGCCACCAAGTAAAGATTTCATTCAGATATCCCTGGTCACCACCATTGTAGGATTCAATCTCATTGATGTGATCCATTAGTAGCTGGAATGTGCAATTTGATGGCTCAACAATCATCACACCGGAGTTAAAGAGCGTCGCATTATTTCCTATTGCAGAAATTTCTGGCATCTCGAATAAGAAATCAATATTCCTAAGTATAAGAAGGTCAGCATCGATGAAAATAATCTTGTCATAATCTGTCAACTGCCAAAGACGGAACTTGCTGTAATTCCATTCGTTATATGCTTCTGGTTCAGCTTTTGGATTCCTGATTCTTTGGATTGTATAAATTTTCCACCCAGCAGCCTCCAGGCCACCTCTATGATAATCACTGATTGAATCATCGACTAGTATCACAAGGTCCCTAGTTGAACCTGACATGCGGATACTTTGAGCAGCTGTAATGGCCCCACACACATATACATGAGCAGAGTGTAGGATCGTTGCATATGCTTCGCGGTGTGCTCTCTCTGAATGGAAAGATTCTGTTCAAATATATTTCGTTAGTTTAATCTAAACGCTTTCAGAAATGGGAAAGCAGAAAATTCAGTTAGCTTAAGCCTCTGGAATCTATTAAGATGTGATGGACTTCAATTCATCAGTCTGAGATGGAAATTTTCCGGATCAGAAAGAAAAATGAGTAAAATTGAAAAGATTTCAATTATGCCTCATTGTTACAGCTATAAATTCAAGTTACCTCAGCAGTTCTAAATGTGAAAGATTCTAAATTTCTAAAAGTTGATAGTGATAAACTTTTCGACCAGCCAGCTCTAGTTGCAGTGAAGAGTAGAAGAATCTGTATGAACAAATATATTGAAGAAACTAGGTTGAAACTAACCTTTAGCCTCGAGAGGAACCGAAAGTTCACATGATCCAACTGGCAGTCGAACCTTTTCTCTTAACCTATGTAGGTTGGGTGTATACAACCAAGCATCCCCTTCATGTGCGACAAGGTCCTTGCAGGTAAGAAGATTGGGAAGTGGGAAGCAGTCGGTCAACAAAAGCACATGCACTGGGTGTAACCCCTTAGCGGAAGCAGCAAGCCTCGCAGCCGCTAGCTGAAAGTGTAGACGTGCAATGTCTCTTGACCACTTCCCTGCCTTGTTGCAAGGAAGCTTGACAGCAATAAGATCGATTCGTGGTTTTCCAGGAAACTGAAGACTGGGTAGAGAAGGACATTTAGGAACCTCAAATTCTTCTTCTTCATCTATCCATTCAGGATATAGGGATTCCCAAGTTACGTTGTCTGCCACGGGGTCCAATTGCAGAACAACATGTTCGGCATCTGGTAAGAGCTGCTTCCATTGATCAGCTTCAGTATTATTGAAGTTCAATAAGCCAATTCCCTGATATTCGTCCCTGTCAGTCAGTTTCTCAATAACATTCGAGATTTGATCCCAGTTCACATCCAAAGTTGATATATAACGTGGATCAGCGGCAGCACTGTCTCTTATCAATCCGTCTACAAAACCAGGCCTGCATGTGACAAATTCTACTTCAATAACTTGATAGAAAAAGAAGAGTAATCTTCGACATATATGCTAGCAAACTCACTGCTCTGGCCTTCCGGTACCAGAAATTTAAGGTGGTCAATCTAAAAGCCAAGATATTGAGGTTGTTACATATGCTAGTTGGATAGCTAGTTAGATACAGTAGCCCACAAGTACTCACATGCATGCTCTCATACATATACACATGCTCAACCATACAAGGGTTTGCTTTCAAGCAGAAAATAATTGAGTATAGGAGAGCAATTATAGACTAGATATAACAATTAACAGAAAAATACTTTGATGGTATAGTATACCGAGATACAAGATTGGATGGACGATCTGAAATGTGAACTGCAGGGGAGCGAAGGAGAGTGATGAGAGATCCCACCAAAAGTATGACCAGCACGACTTTCAAAGTAGTTATCTTGCAATTCCAGTTCCCGTACCGAATAGGTACATGAAAAGCCTTCTCAACATCTCTAAAAACCTTGTTTCTTTGGAACTCTCTTCTGCTTGTTTCTTCACTGTAAGAGTGCAGTGTGAATCGCATAAGTCCATGCCCATAAAGCAAATCAGGGAGAGGCAGAGTTTTAGAAGACAAAAAAGCCAAAAGTCTTATTTGCTATGTTATTCAAACTCTTTATAACTGAGTACAGTTTCCCCCCCTAGTATATATATAAAATAACTGAGTAAGGTTATGATCCTCTAAATATATGGAAAATTTTGAAGATAGTTCAACATACTCATGTTGAATACATATCTGTAGTTGGAACTCACCAGCATCCGGAAAAGGTAACTTGTGTAATAATAAGGCAAATCTAATGTCAGTATGGAGATAAAGTTGAAGTATCCAAAACCCGATTCGCAGAACCAAAGTAACAATAAATATATGAAAGCAAACTCCAAATGTTCTCGTAGCTGAGCAGAACTAACATTTACATAATACAAGCATATTAATAATGATGCTCTCCCTGGCTTCTCCAATCTCAAAGAATATTCCAAATTTTAAAAATCGTTCTAATTCTAATTCCAGAGAGCTTTACATTCCATAGCTTTAAAATTTCTATAATCCACCATGACAAACTCAAAAATCCAAATCTTCGTGCATCTTAGTTAATTCAAAAAGCAGTTGAACACGGTGAACAGTCATAAGGGCCTAAGCTTTCTTCAGATGAGAAGTCAAAAGATCATAGTTGATTTAATTAGGCTAGAAGATAAATTTTGCTGAACATTCCATTCTCTTGCAAAGAGTTCAAAAAACAATTCACATAAACAACAGCAATGCCAGGGCGGAGAAGATTGAAATAAGAATAATTAAACAGTTGAAAGTTTAAGTGGTTAAAAGTTAAAAACAATGCCGCCTAACCCTAGGTCAATCTACTTCATATTTGATCTTATTTTCAACAGCTAAAATGCTAAGATAAATCTACAATATTTATGATATACATCAAATAAACACTCAACTAAAAAAATACGAATCACAGCCAAGTTCAAACAGATCTTACTGCAGTTTTCTCTAGTCAAACAAACAGCTGTGCATAAAAGCGCAGTAAGCAAGCAAACCAAAGCAATAATTACTATAAGATTTCAAGTATTTTAAATTATGACAGTAATCGAAAGCAATGGTGCAAGTCAAAAGATAAAAAGAAATAGCTCAATTTAACAGATCTTACTGCATTTTTTAGTCAAACAAACATCAGCGCTTAAGAACTCAGCAAACAGTAAATCGAAGCAAAAAGAAATCGAGATTTTCAGATGATAACAGTAATTAAAAGCTTTGATGAGGAGATGGGAGAAGAAAGGGACCGACGCAGGGGAAGAAGCAACGCGGTGGCGGGGCTCTTTAGGACTCAGAGAGGGGCCTCTCATCTTCAGAGATCACCTGAAACTGACAAAATTAACAATCATTTGGTTATACTCCGAAATTTATATAGCCCTTAGTGAACATTCTTTTCCTTCAAAATTTTAAAGGAAAATAGAAAGAGCTTACTTTGCTGCGTGATCCAACGCTGTAGGAATATGGAAATGAGAGAGGGAGCGGCACTTATTAGTGCTTAGAATTAGAACTAGTTAAAATTAGAGTCGATTAAAATATGTTTTTATTAAATCATTCTAAGATAATAATTAAATTTTATTAAAATTTTACATTTACTATAATTTCACAATAATTATTTTGTAAATTTAATGATTGTTTTGTATTTGTTAAATGTTTAGTGACAAAAACAACCACTTGGGTATAGTTTAATGGCCGTGGTACACTTCACCCTTTTTATTAATCTGGTAATAATAGCTGGCTTTTTGGCTTGGTTAATTTAAGACAAATTTAGCCAAAAAGGAATCTTTTGTGTTCCAAAAAAAAAATAGTGACTAAACATGTGTTTAAGACTAATTAATATATAAATTCGTGTTTAACTAGTGAGTGACTTTAAGTTAATTTAATATTAATTAATATACTCTTAATACATTAACTAACAATTTGTTTTTGGACTATCTCTATTTTATTTTTATTAACTAATCAATCATTTTCCAGGTTTAATAACAATGTAAAGGTTCTCAATGTGTTATTTTTGTGAAATTACCATTGTTAACTAAATTTAATTGGCGGTGATAGGGGGAGTTCTATAAAGTGTTTCCCATTAACTCCTAATCACGCCCCCAAAAAAAGAAAACATGGTACTTGTATTAATAGAGATTAGGCAAGAATCAAGGGTCCTTTTCATCTTAATTACTTCGTAAACATGACCTTGCAATAATAATTACTATTAAAGTCAATGACAAATAATAAGGATGGTTGGTGAAGGATTCAATAGTTGGTTTAAGTCACCCTATAAAAAAAAGGTATTAATTCAAATCATAACCTAGTAATAAAGGAATATTAAATCTCTATTTGATTATTATTATTATTAAGTAAAAAGGCATCAAGGTTACTGTAATTAAAAAAATAATATGACCCTCATATTATTTTCTCTTAATGTAGTCCTATTTCAATGTAGCATTTCAACTCAAAAAAGAAACTCAATGCGATCATTTGACCAATGTTTTTCAGTCATTGACCTTTATGGTGCTGGCTTGATAGTTCATGGTGTTGACATGACGATCCATGATGTTGACATGACAGTCCATCTGTCAAGTTTGAGTTATCAATTTAGGCGATATGTTATGTCATTCGTCATTTTATCAACCATCCTGGACCGTCATGTCAGCATCCTGGACCGTCATATCAGTACAGTGATATTCCACGTTAGTATCATTTCGATCAACGACGAAAACTGTTGATCAAAGGGTCACATTAAGTTTATTTTCTGAATTGGAAGGTCGCGTTAAAAAAATAATATGAGTCACATTAATTTTTTAAAAAGTACATAGATATATGATACATTTTATCTTATTATTATAACAAATAAAATAACATAAATTTAGATTCATTCGTAGTATAATCTATCATATTAATTATTTCAATTTATTATAATCTAAAACCTCTATAAAAAAACAACGCTGAATGTTACTATTGAGATCGATTTTATATTTTAAACTTTTAATTATTTTAAAATCATTAAAATTATCATTCTCTTATAATTTATCTTGTTTAATTATTTTTTAAGATCTTATCAATTTTAAATAAATTTTATGTTGATTTTCTTTGTTTAATTATTTTCCAATATCAATTAATTTTGTAATTAATAAAATTATATTCTATTTTTCTAACTTTTATGATCTAATTATTTTATAAAAGTTCATTAGTTTTAAAATTAACTAATCTAACCTCATAAATATATCTTGATTATGTTCTTATATACATAATATGTAGTCCAAGAACTCGAGTTTCATTTGTGCCTGTGGGTGGTTTTGATCCTATCAAAGTCGTTTCATTTAACGAATAATCTTAAACATGCAAGGTAGCTGCAACATGATGCTATAGTTTTTATTTTGAAGTATTTTACTATCTCAATCAACACCGATATTAATATCGACGATTATAATTATAATACTTATTTATTTATTTATTTATTTATTATGTTCATGATAGTAACACAGTCAAACTAAAAACTATCTCAGTTTTATTATATATGTTTTAAAGTAGTATTATTATCTCTTGAGGTTTTGGATCTAAATATCTGCATCCATAGAATATATATGCGTTGTCAATTATTAAAAAAGATTATAAACAAATATTATCTTGTAATTACCTATAATCTCCTAGACCCGGCCTATGCGTTATGACCATATCTAATGGATTACGAAATTTTTTTTCCAAAACATTTTTCAATAACTTAAAATCCAAATTATAATTAAGCATCTTTAATAATGTAATTAATAGTGTTGAGTTAATCGATTGACGGAATTAGCCAAGAGGGGGGTGAATTGGCAATTAAAATTTTGTGGAAGTTTTTGCAGAAAATTGAAAGTAATTGCACAACGATTTAGAGTGGTTCGACTTTATCAACCAAAGTCTACGTCCACTACCTTAGCTATCCACACTAAGGATTTTCCACCAAATTCACTAATTTGTTCTTTCTTTTGAGGCCAAAGAGATAACCTTACAACTCCCTCAAGAATATACCCCAATTCTTGAGAACACTCTTTTCTGAAAGAGAAGATTACAAATTTGCAAACTCACAAGAAAAACCTCACAAGGCAAATATGTTTGCACAATTCTAGAACAAAGAAAGAACACTCGAGAATAAATACAATTGAGCACAATAAGTGTTCTTGAAAGCAAAATGAATATTGAATGAAAAATAGGCTTGAAATGCTCAAACTTGAGGTTTGATGCTTTCTCTTTGATTCTCTCTTGATTCTAGTTGCTTGATGTTTCTTGTTCTTGATCAGTGGCTTCTAAGCTTGTTTAAATACACCTTGAATCACTTCTGAACGTTGGGGATGATTAGTGGATTCAATAGAGCCGTTTAAGTGTGAAAACAATTAATTAAAGCAGTTGGGAGCGTCAGTGCATCGATACATACCCATGGTGCATCGGTGCATCAGTGTAAAATTCAAATATTTTGACTGTTGGACCCTTAGTGCATCGGTGCACTAAGAGTGCATCGATGCATCAAGTGCATTCGATGTTTCAAAATAGCCACAGTGCATCGATGCATGACTGGTGCATCGATGCATCAAATGCATTCGATGTTTTCATAACATCCTCAGTGCATCGGTGCATGGTATGTGCATCGATGCATGAAATGAATTCGATGTTCAATTTAATTCATGGTGCATCGGTGCATCACTCTGAAAAATTGATTTTAGGCTTGATTTTGGTTCAAAATACTTTGTGAAAATTGTTTCAAAAATATATTAAGTATAAAACACAATTTTACACATTTAGTAAGGTTTGAAATTGATCTTAAAATACTTGAAGTAATAATTTGATATTCGAGTAATTAAATCGAATATACTTTTAGAAAATCATTTGTAAAATCTTAAAATTCATTTAACTTAATTTGTTATATCGAAACATCAAAATGTTTTCAACAATCTCCCCCTTTTTGATATAACAAAACTCTTGAGTAATTTTAAGATTTTCTTTGAAAATAAGTTTTGAAATCAATTTTGAAAATTACTCCAAATTACTTTGAAAATTACTCCAAATTACTCCCCCTTACTATAACACTTTTTCCCTTTAAAACTTTTAACACTTAACACTTCTCCCCCTTTTTGTTAAATCAAAAAGACTTAAAATCGATTTAAACAAGGTTTTGAAAAACAGATCCAATTGATTAAATATCTATATATATATAAGATCACAATCAAAAGAGAGATTAGCCATTAGTTTCATAATCAATATTCATTATAAAATGTGAAATGGTAAATTGGTCATATTTCAACTAAAAAGTAAATGATGCATATATTGTAACAAACCAAAATATGTATGAAATAAAATTTCAAATATCCATCAAACAGTCATCCAACAATCAAAGAAAGACAATCCAAAATGTTTTAACAATTTAAATTCAAGTTCAACCTAAAAACAATCAAAGAAAGATAAGTCTATTCATCCATTGAAGGATCGGGAGGAGGAGGAGGGTAACAAGCTCTCATCTCAAGCGAGAGTGCATCCAAACGATCATTCATATCTTGTTGTCGAGCTCCCAAGGTAGAGAGTTAGGACTCAATGAATGTGAAGCGCAATCCATGGACGCATACCGTAAATCAAATGTCTCCAAAAACGAACGAAAAATGGAGGCATTTGATCTTCTTGTGGAGCTGGTTCCGATGCAGGCTCATCATCAGGTACGTGGTCATCGATGTCTTGCATAAGTTGTTGAAATTCAGGATCATCGTCATCAGCCGGAGCCGGAGGAGGAGGAGCACGAGAGGAGCTAGGAGCAGTTCGTGAGGAACTAGCTCCCGGAGTTTGCTTGCCGGGTCTAAAAACCCATTGACCGGTTACCTCATCTTGTTTCCAATCTGCTTTCTTCAAGGATGTGAGATTGATTTGATTTTGGAGTGGGATAGGATTGTCGAGAGAGACTTCTAGACCAAGTTTGATAAAGAGGTTACTAAGAAGACATCCATAAATCAATGTTTCAACATGTTTTGAAGGAACAATGTTTACGATGTCTACTAGTTGACTGAATATAATATGGGGCAGATTTATTTTGATTTTATTTTTAATACAATACATCCACCATAAATCCCTAGCACGAAGTGTGGAGTACATACCTCCGGATGGTCTAAACCACCAAGAGATCATCAAATGGAGAAAATGATCGTGATGAGATCGTAGAGTACTAACACTAGAGTTTGGAACATAGGGATATTCCACATTTTCATTCTCATTATATACACCACTATCATCTAACCCAAAATCGGAAAGCTATAGTTTCGGGGTCAATATTAATATATTAGCCTAAAAGATAGGATCTAATGGCTAGAGTTCCACATTGAGTTTCATTTTGAATACACACCACATTGGAATAGAAAATGCGGACCAATTATTGATAGACGATGGGTTTAAGCTGAAACAATTTATCATACTTCCAAG